TCCACAGTTAATTTTGACCCTCTTCTCCTCTTCCTTTCGTTTTCTAAGGGTCTGCCACCACCGGTGGGCGTAGTGCTCGTCTACCCGGCCCTCTGCCTCTCGCTTGCGGCGAGTATCTCGCGGACCGTCTTCAACCATGATCCAGTCCTCAACTTCCCTTCCACCGCGCTGTGTCTCAACTCCTACGTGCCCGAGGACAGGCGCAGTGTACTCCATACCTACCTACTCACGCCCCGCCCGGTGTTGGTCAATGCCACCGTCGGCTCACCTTTTTATCTGCGCAAAATGCGCACTTGGTTCATTCACTACAGACGACCTTCACCGACCCGTACTTGAGCCCCAGCATGGCGCCATCGTCGCTCCTGGCCAAGTTCCCGCCCACTCACATCGCCGCCGGAGGACTCGATCCGCTGCTCGACGACGGCGTCCACTTTGCGCATCGTCTGCTGAAGGAACAGCGACCGGTACCGACTCTCTGCTTACGCCACACCGCGTACTCACTGTACATGGCCATGTGACTGATGGGTGAACCCTCGCTGCGCAGGTGGAGCTTCGCATCTACGACATCCTTCCTCACGGTTTCATGAACGTTTCGCAGACCATTCCCTCGTCCAAGTTTGCCATCGTCGACATCGCCAGCGCCATCACCCAGCTCATGTTCGCTCCGGAAGCAGCGCCGGCCGACGAGCCACACAGCGTGTGAACAAGCTCGGGTTCATCATCACCACAGCCCATCAAACTCGCTCCCTTCACCCGTCATTTGTGTCGCTTGCGCGCCCGGGAGCCGAGCAGGACCACATCACGCCCACAAGAATGTGGGCGGAGCCTGAGAACCTCCTCGCCGTCGCCCACGCCGACAGTCTTGTCGTCATCTCAACTCGCCGTCGCCCACGCCGCGAAAGTCGTGTGAGTGGCCACGGAGCAAAGGAAACAAAAAGAATATGGCCCAGCGGGGATTGGGTGCCTCGAGTGAGAAGAACGGAGGAACACCAACCACACTTTTTGTGACGACCCGGCACGTGCCCGCGTGGCCACAAAAACGGGGCCGAGTCACGTTCGTCTCTTTTCTTATCTTCGCGCCCCTCGACCACCACCCACCCACACACGCCAACCAGGTCTGTATCACCCCTCTGCTGCGCCCTCAGCGGCCCATTACTCTTGCTTTAGAGATGTGGAGGAGATGGAGGGCCTTCGGGTTCGTCCGTACTCCTGGCTGTGTGGCGGTGGGGTGAGCACTCTCGCGAGCGTCTTCTCCCTAAGGAAGTGTCCGGGCCACTCGTTAGAGTCATCATTTAATTCGTTTCAGTATGTTATTCTTCCGATTCGGTGATTAGATCTAGCTGGGACTAATCCGTATCCCGCTCTTTTTCCATTTCAGTTGCGTTGTGCTGCGGCCGAAGATCTTGGAAATTCACAAGAACCCACAACTGCACTAGTTGATTTCCGAAAGGATTGTCGTTGGGGAGGACATATCGATCATCCTACCAACGACGTCGAACCTCGATCCGCCAGAAAACGCCTGCCATCCAA